TTATTATGCACCATTTGCTCTCATTTTTATTGCAAGCTTGGTTTTACATATCAGAGCTGAACTTAAATGATTTTAAGAGAAACTGTTTCAGGGCAAGATTTTGGAACCTCGTAACCTAAACCTTACTATTGGATAGATTTCATTAGGGAGATATTCTTGTAGATACACTTGACTTACTTGTTAAAAGACACAAACCTGCTTATGTACAAATCAAGTACACCAAGGAAGATGCTCTTGGTGACTACAAGACTTCCTGACCCAGGCTTACTCTATCCTAGGTAGATCAAGTGTGACAGCCAGCCTTTACTCAGGTTCTCACCAATGCACTGCAATCTACTGAGATCTTTTCTCTGCAATGATAAGCTCTGTCTGTTCACTTGATGGCTGGACAGAGTAATATATGAGAAATGTGGATTCAGTAAGCTGACTAACAGAACAATAAATCAATCTGGTTATCAATGATCTCAATCTACTTTGAAGATTAAAAAAAAAAAAGCAAGGCAGGCACAGTGGCTCATGTCCGCAAGTCTACTCAGGAGGTACAAATTGGAAGGACTTCAGTTTGGACAAAAAGTTAAGAGACCCCATCAATGAACTGCTTGGTTATGGCAGTGTGGCCCCAGCTATATGAGCGTGTAGGTAGCAAGAATCTGGTTTGAGGCTGACTCTGGTTTGAAGCTGACCTTACCAGAAACATAACTAAAAAAGTGAAAAGGGGCTAGAGTAAGGCTCAAGTGATAAAGCACTTGTCTAATAGGCATAAGGCCCTGAGACCAAACCTTAGAAATACCATCCCCACCACCATAGGAAAAAAAAAGAAAAATGAAATGAAATAGTTCATGAGCAAAACTTCATAAAATAAGCAATTATTCCTGGAGAAATCTCACTGGACAATTTTTCAGAAATACAGCTGAGTGACAGTGGTCTTGTGCCTGTCATCCTAGCTACTCAGGAGGCTGAGATCTGAGGATCATGGTTGGAGGCCAGCACAGGCAGAAAGTACATGAGACTCTTATCTCCAATTACTCACTCAAAAACAAAAAGCAAAAACAACAACAATGACAATGACAGAGCACTAACCAGGAGCAAAGATGCTCAGAGACAGTATTCAGGAACTGAGTTTCAATCCCCAGGACACACACACACACACACACACACACACACACACACACACACACACACACACACACACACACACACACACACACACACACACACACACACACACACACACACACACACACACACACACACACACACACACACACACACACACACACACACACGAAATACAGTTTGTGGTAACTGCACCAATACTCCCTTTACACCACAAAACAGCTAGGTAAATATGAAATGTTCAGAACATGTACACTGCTGGACTCCCTGGGAATGGGTAAGAAAAGGTCACTTTACTGAAGAACATTACTCTAAGATACACTGCAGAAATGAGCACCAGTGATACTTCGAATAAGCAGGATTTGATAAGGAGGCCAAAGGCCTCCTATGTAGGCCTCCTACCAAGGATTGAAAGCATCCAAGACAGCAGAATTCCAAACATTACAAGTACTTGAATGGGGTCAGGGGAGGAGATATATTGACAATAGAAAAAAAGTAGAGTCACATTATAAGGAATTCATTTTTGAGAAGAACAGAGAACCACCAAAGGTAACTGCCCACGGAAGGACAAACCCAAGCTTCTGGAGTAGAAATGAAGGGGAAGAACAAGTTAGGGTAAGGTTAAAATGGGGGAAGACATTTTAAAAACTACCAAACACTGGAATTTTAGTAGCAAAAGGACAGTCCATGTAACATAGCAGATAATAAGTGTATTGATATATTTTCAACTCTAGCTTCCAAAAGCAGAGATTTACCACTGAGTGAGGCAGTGTTAAATAACACTAATCCACTGACATGACATCAGGAAACTTGATCTGTCTCCTAAATTCACTTCTTTTAAGCCTAAGTTACTTGGGAATCTGGTCCAAATGTAAATTCGGTCTCAGAAGTTTAGAAGAGTTACCCTGTATTTTTATATTTCTAGCTTAGATGACTCTTAACACTGATCTCTTGTGTGAGCATGAGAATGCGTGCACTCATGAGTGCACTGTTAAAAAAATTTTTTTTTGCCTGTACCATGGCTTGAACTCAAGGCCTTGCAATCTCACTGATCTTGCTTACTCACAGCTGGCGCTTTATTATCTGAGCCATGCCTGCATCCTTGCTTTTTTGCGAATAAACTAGAAATGGACTTTTGTAGACTTTTCTTCCTGGGTTGGCTCCAAATTGAACTCTGATCTCAGCCTTCTGAGTAGCTAGGACTACAGGTGTGAGCTACTTGAAGAACAGCAATTCTTAGTGTATAATGTTCAACACATTTTGGTACATCTAGTGTTTTTAGATATGTCTAAGAAATACTTATCCCAAGCCAGGTGCCAGTAGTTCACATCTGTAATCCTACCCACTCAGGAGGGTGAGATCTGAGGATGGGGGTTTTCAAAGCCAGCCCAAGCAGAAAAGTTCTCAAGAGACTCTTATCTCCAATTAACCACTTACAAAGTGGTGCTGTGGCTCAAAAGTGGTAGAGCATAGTAGCTTTGAGTGAAAGAGCTCAGGAATAGTACACAGGTCCTGAATTCAAGCCCCACAACTGATGAAAAAAAGAAAGAAATATTTATCCCCACTAATGTTTTTTGAGACAAGTCTTTGTTATGCAGCTCTCAAACTCACGATCCTCCTGGTTCATTCTCCTGAGAGCTGGGATTACAAGTGTACATCATCATCATCATGCTTAACTTAAACACTTTACAAAGGCGTTTCATAATTTTGCTTAGGTTTCAAAGTCACTATTTAAAAGTCAAGATGATTCTAGATTCACTGTACTCAATATACTTAGAAATCTTCCCACCTGAAGAAAATCAATTTTCTCATGCTATTCTTGTTCTTTTTTCTTTTTTGGTTGGTCATGGGGCTTAAACTCTGGGCCTAGGTGCTGTCCCTGAACTCTTCAGCTTAAGGCAAGTACTCTACCACTTTGAGCCACCGTGCCACTTCCGGTTTTTCTGGTAGTTAATTGGAGATAAGAGTTTCATGGACTTTCTTTCCCAGGCTGGCTCTGAACTATGATCCTCAGATCTCAGCCTCCTGAGTGGCTAGGATTACAGGAATGAGCCACCAGTGCCTGGCTTCATGCTGTTCTCTTAACACTAAAATTTTGTCTCCTTTTATTTAGGCTTGCAAACTAAAAGATAATCTCACTTTTAGTCCTAAAGTGTAAAAAGAAGACACCCTCTTTCCTAGCCTACCAATCAGCGAGTTTCAATAAAAATCCGTATAACTTGCCCCTACACTGTCTTAAGCATCTTAACTTGGTCCTTGAAGATAAATGTAAGTAATTTGTTTAATATATTCTACTGACACCTACAGAGCACAATTAAATTCACACACCTTTCCTTGGTTTAAGACTTGTATACTGAAGGACATGTCTTAAAAAAGTCTCTCACCATCAACAGATGTGTCATTTATAAAAATGTGGTATATGGGTGGCTCACACCTGTAATCCTAGCTACTTAGGAGGCTGAGAGCTGAGGATCTCGGTTCAAAGCCAACCCAGGCAAGAAAAGTCCATGAGACTCTTATCTCCAATTAATCACCAGAAAACCAGAAGTGGCACTGTGGCTCAAGTGGTAGAGCACTCACCTTGAGCTAAAGAGCTGAGGGATGGCACCCAGGCCCAGAGTTCAAGCCCCACCCACAACCAAAAAAAAAAAAAAAAGTGTTATTTGTGTAATATATTTTACATATATACATATGCATGCCCACATATAAAAGATTGGTTGGGTAGGAGAAAGACAAAGGAAGAGCCAATAATGCTGGATAAGAAATGTACTCATTACCTTTCTCATGTAACTGTAACCCCTCTGCACAGCATTTTCACAATAAAAAACTTCTTCAAAAAAAAAAGATTGGTTGGCCTTAGATATATGGAACAAAATTTAACACTTCTAAAGCTTGTTTCATTTTTAACTGAATTAATGGATAGTAATCATCATTTAGGTGAAATAGGTTCAACACATATTAATACTTAGAGAACAAAAAGACTATCTTATAGTTGAAAGTACTATTGAAGATAAAATTCAAGTATTTTCATTATGGAAGGGCGAAAACGAAAACTGAGGCATAGAGGCTAACATCCCAAAAATCACATAGCTTACAAGGAGCATTAAAAAAGTGGAAAATCAATTTTTATATCTACCAATGCAGAAAGTATAATATAGTGCACAAAATGTAAAGAGTTTCTGGTTCTTCTAATGACTAAAAAGAACAGTTAATATTTTAGTATATTACAAATCACTAAGATCCAAAAAAGGAAGACTATATACCAACAAATAAAAGACATTTTACATCCAAATTTAAGAACTTCATAAAAATGAAATCTGAATAGAGAATGACACATATACACCACATATTAGGGATGGAGCTTGGGGGGGGGGTGGAAAATGGGATGGGATATAAAGAACAAAGAGAAGACAATGGTTAACTCATCTTCTCAGGAATGGGGTGAGAAAAGCTGTCACACAGAGAAAAGTGTCGTTAAAACCACAACTTTCTTTACCCTCATGAATTACTCTTTAATTAGTAAACTCAGGGATTAGATTTGGAGGACTAAAATGTTTTTAAAAATAGAAAATGTAGATAGCAGTTGGATGTGCATGTGTCATCAGCTCTGTTAGAATTAAAAGCAAACTAAAGATCCCCTTTTAGCCATAAAATAGGGAATCTTTTGCTTCTTACAAATGCTCTACCATTTACCAGCACAGTTTAAAAAAAATCATTGGATAAGTTCTGTGATAACAGACAATGGTTTTAAATCATAGGCATACATTATTATGCCTACGTCAACAGATCTGCACTGCAATGCAGAAATGCAAGCGGTATTCCAACATCTGCACAGAAGGCAGAGACTAGACATGATTCTAGAATAAAGGGCTCTTAACTCTTACCTGTTACCTGTGCAACAACTGCTTGGGAAATCCTCCGATTGGCAAGAAAGGCTTTGATTTCCTCTTTTATCACACTGCTGTCCCTCCTAACAAAAACAGAAGACAAGACCAACAATGTATGTTGAAGGTAGAATCCTCATCTTTGCTAAAGAAAGGTGAAGTTGAGGTGGGGAGAACACAGAAAGAAGGGACACAAAAATAAAAGCAAACAGACTCTGTGTAAACATAGGAAATTACAACTGAGAAGCACCAAATATTCAAGTTCTGAAATGTCACACCATCAGACAGACACTGTAGTGAATGTCATTGTAGATGTAGGATGGTTAATCACAGGCTATGTTTAAGTCACATGAAGAACAAGGCTGGCATACGGTACACACGAAGTCTCATTACTGGGAAATAGAGATATCTTACACAGACAGAAATCCTGGAAAAATAAAAGTCAATAATAAAAATCAGTTGTGACAGACTGGGTCTACATTATTAACTAAGCAGCTGCCTAAATAATCTTCATTTGAAAATCTTTAACACAGTTAAAAGAACAAAAACCATCATCATTCTCACAACTAAAACTGTTAGTCATTTTTGAAAAGGCCCTTTACCTTTAGCTGGCCTTTTTTGTTTCGCGTATTAACAAAGGATTGTAATGTGGGAAGGTTTGAATAGTAAAGTTTAAAACTGAAAAGACATACTGAATATTTAATACTAAATATCATGTTCTATGTCCTTAGGATTATATATTATAGTCTTCATTTTTCCTCTATTGACATGTATATTACAAATTTTTTACTTATTTAAAAAACAGCAAATTCTCAAAAGACCAAACATTTGTGAATGACAATGAGTGGTAAGACTTCTGTTTTTCCATCAGAACAAACAGCTTAAATACAAATTATGGCTAGCTCCTTAAAACTGACCAATTTCTCTGTCTTATCTTCACACATACAAAAAGACACACATTACAAAAAACAGAATACTGATTTTTGTTCAAGTTGAAAACTAACAGAAAATCATAAATACTTCCTAGCTAACCCAAGGATCTCCAAATTATAAGCCATAGGCTAAATCCAGCCCGCCTCCTGTTTTTATATAACCTAGGAGCTAAGAATCATTTTCTCTAATGGAATCAATTTGAATGAAATTATTATCTTCTCTTTCTTCTCATTGATGAGCCTGTATTTTCAAAGCTGTATACAATTATTACACAAATATTAACTTATTCAATTTTGTCAATAAAAATTTGTCAAGTTGGGCATGGTGGCACACACCTGTAATACTTGTATCTGGGAGGCTAAAGCAGAAGGACTGGGATTGGAGGTCAACTCAAGCTACATGGTAAGACTTTGTCTCAGAAAACACAAAAAGCAAAAAACAAAAAAACATCCAAGAAAGGTCACTCAAACCTATAATCGTAGCTACTTGGAAGGTAGAAATTGGGAGCTTGCTTTTCAAAGCTGGCCTGGAAAAAAAGAAATTTGAAAAGCTCCAGCTCAACCAATGGTTGTTTTGACAAGTGCCACATAGAGCAGTATAATAGAAGGATCACAGCCCAGACCCACCTCCACATAAAGTAACACCTCATCTCAAAAGTTACCAATACAAAAAGGGGCCTAGATGTAGCTTAAGTGATAAAAGTGACTGCCTAGCAAGCTCCAGGCCCTGAGTTCAAACCCTAGTACTCACCCACCCCAAATAAGAGCAAACCAAAAGTCTGCCCATTTCTTGTTTTGTGAATGAACCACAAACTCTTTATAGGGGCTCAAGTCTCTGTAGATTGGAGAAATTAAGAAGAGGATTTGATCTAAAAAAGAATCAGCTAGCTTCGATTTAATTTAGATCAGAAATGTCAGCACCTATCGAAGAGGTATTGGTTTCATGCCCCCCTCCTCCTGGGGAATTTTGGAATGAGCAGTGAAGGGGCGGAGATGCGCTTCCAGTCTGCAGTTCCACAGCAACTATGGAGCAGGAATCTGACGGAATCTGACCCATAGGTGGAAAGCCTGACCAAAAAGTTCCCTAAAGGAAGAAAACAAAGAAGATGCTGCCTAATGCAATATTTAAAATTTCCCTAAGGATTCAGATTCTGACCTAGATACTGTTTAGATTCTTCTCAAATGCTTGTCTATGCATCAGTTATCAGGTGAACAAGAGATAACTTTAGCATTGACTATTTCAACTGCCTTAGATACATAAAATCATAAATTATTTGGTTTCTGATATGACTATAAAATTGCTCTGAAAAATTTTACATTATATATATAATACATATAGAATGAGTTAGGAGAATGAAATTATTTGAGAACAATTATTCAGGTTAGATGAAAAAATATTGTTTTGAGGAAAACTGAATGGTACTTTTCTTCACTACTGAATTAAAGTAGAATGAAAACTAATTTATTTCAAATCTAATTCACCTAGAGTAGACACTAAGTCAGATAGTACACATGAAATACCTTAATACATTTAACTATTCTCAGAGGGAAATAAGTTTGTGGATTAAGCACAGCTTATATTAAGCTATAAAGGACTATAGTAAAACAGAAGAAATCACAAAAGGGTACAAAAACTAATTCATTCACCATCTTATACAGTATTGTTAGGTTCATAAGTTTCTAAAATACTCATAATGACGCTTAAAAAAAATCAGAAACTAAGCTGGGTGCCAGTGGCTCACACCTGTAATCTTACTCAGGAGGCTGAGGTTCGAACATTGCAATTCAAAGCCAGCTTGAGCACGAAATTCCATGAGACTCCTATTAACCACCACCACCACCACCACCACCACCACCACCACCACCACCACCACCACCACCCACACACCCACACACACACACCCACACACACACCCTTTATTGCTTTATCAGAGACAAGCTTTTTTAAATGAAATAAATAAGACTTAAAAGGGGGACTAGGTATAGCTCAGTAACCAAATATTAGACTAACATTCAAGAGTTTTAATATCCAGATTCCATCCCCTAAAACACAAGGATTTTTGGGCTAGCTTCACTCTAGTTTCAACATCAGGTAAAAATAAGAATATTAAGGCCATGTATAAAAGTTTTTAGAGGCTGTAGATGTAGCTCAGTGGTAGAGGCCTAGCATTTGTAAGGTCCTAGGTTCGATCCCCAGTACCTCTTTCTAATAAATAGCTTTAATTTTTTTTCTTCAAGTAATGAAATTAAATATTGAATATATATGCTGGTAATATAAAAATAAAAATCCTCAATGTAAAAAATGGAAATTAATGAAAGAACAATAATATTGGCTATTATTTTATAAAACCTCACTAAGATCCCAAAAGAGGAAGATCCACTCACTATCACCATTTAAAACTGAAGTAAGTACCATAAGGCACCAGGAAAGAGTTTCTACAAGGTCAATATATGCACAAGCAATGAAGTCTAGTTTGTTTGTTTTTGTTGGTCATGGGGCCTGAACTCTGGGCATGGGCGCTGTCCCTTAGCATTTTTGTTCAAGGCTAGTGCTCTACCACTTGAGCTACAGAGCCACTTCCAGTTTCCAGTTAATTGGAAATGAGAGTCTCACAAACTTTCCTGTCCAGGCTGGCTTTGAACTGTGATCCTCAGATCTCAGCCTCCTGAGTAGCTAGATTACAGGCATGAGCCACTGGTGCTAGGCAATGAAGTCTTTTATTACTGTTTTAGTAGGTATTTTTTTTTTTAATTCTTTTTTTTTCTTTTTGGGGGGGGGGGGTCCGGTCGTGGGACCTGAACTCTGGGCCTGGGCGCTGTCCCTCAGCTCTTCAGCACTCTACCACTTGAGCCACAGTGCCACTTCCAGCTTTTTTCTTTTTGCTTATGTGGTGCTGAGGAATCGAACCCAGGGCCTCTGGCATGCAAGGCAAGTGCTCTACCACTGAGCTACCTTCTCAGCCCCTAGGTATTTTTTTTAAAATAGTAAGCACTTCAACTTTCACTGTGTCTAAGTTTCCTAACTATTACAAAGAGTTCATTTCTACCAGGCTTGTTTTGTTCTTTAAACTTTTACATATTCCTCTTACTCTCCTCTTTCAGGACTTTTTAACTACCTTTTTCTATCACCTTTCTAAGTTGTGAAGTCCTAAGTGTATAAACTTCATTTACCCCAAATCTACTTCTCTCTTTTTCTACTCTTCTTCTTTCATCTGAAGTTTGCCATTATCCCTAAAGAAAATGAATCCCTTCTTCCTCCTTTCTCTAAAAATGTCTCATACTCTTCAAAATTTCTATTCCTAATTTTATTCTTAATAAATTCAAGTAAAGAGGAGGTTGATCTTTTTTTTTTTACTTCATAACTTCTAAGATAAGCTATCACTTGATTTGCATCAAACCACTTTAGAGGAGTCACAGACACTGGGTTCATCTAGATGATTTCCACATCAGCATGGAGTCCTTTCTTCTTTCTACCTTTCATGGTCAGTGATGTGCTCAACTTTGTGCTGTTTATCTGTTGACTTTCTTTTGGTGTCAATACCAGAGATTCTAATAACTCGGGGCCTTGCACTTTCATATAGTTTTTTTCACTCACAGTAGTACTTTACCACTTGAGCCACATTCCTATCTAGCTTTTCTACTGGTTAACTAAAGATAGAATCTCCCCAGACTTTTCTAACTAGTCTGGCTTTAAACCCTGATCCTCAGATCTCTACCACCTGAGTAGCTAGCCACTAGAACCTGGTACAGACTTTTCTTAATAGTTAAAGGAATTTATTAAGACAGGGTCTTACAATGTTACTCAGACTGACCCTGAACTGATACAGCCTCCTGGCTTAGCCTCCAAAGTGGACCACACCCTGCTTTGAATCACACACCTCAACTATCATCTAATCAGAGATTCCCCCTGATTCTCAAGGTAAAAGAAAAGATTGCTCAATCTCCGTCTCTTTCCCTCTCTCCCCGCCCCCCCTCTCTTTGGTGGGTATAGGGCCTGTGTTATAATTACTCTAACTTTTGTTTTATTTCTCCAGGTCGCCAATAAATTCCTTTAGCATAAAGATTGTCATATAATCAAACTTAATTTGTTAAAAGAGTGTACAAATCTACAGTAAGAGGTAAAAGGTTGTAAAATGATCCTGTGCTAGTGGCTCATACCTATAATCTAACTATGCAGGAGGCTGAGATGTGGGGATCATGATTCAAAGCCAGACAGGTCAGAAAAGTCCATGAGATTCCATTTCCAAAATAATCAGCAAAGAGCTAGATGTGGCTCAAGTGACAGTGCCAAGCAAGCAGGCAAGCCAAGCAAACTCAATACCCTAAGTTCAAACCCCAGTAATGGCAAAAGGGAAAACCTGATCTAGGTAAATTATAAGGCAGTTTTAAATTCTTAATCTCAAATTTATATGTAAGTCCAAAAACAGAATAGAAAAGTTACTTATGGCAGTTGAAGATGACATTGCTTCATTTTCTGGATCAAAGATATTATATAGATCACATGGTTGTAAATGATACGCTTTAAGAGTTTTCATATTCCCTTAATTGATAAGTTTCTCAGAGACACCCAGAGATGAAGCAATACCTATCAAAACAGTATATTTCACACTGCCAAACTACAAACTGCTTTCAGATATAAATTAAAATTTATTCCTATAAATTTCTGCCCATGGATGTACACAAAGCTTTATTTTAGGTAACATTAAAGGCAAAGCTTTTCTAAATAAATAACTGACATAGAAAGTATGTATCTTGACCATTTCATCTAATTACCTGCAGGCTGTAAATACCCTACCTAGACAAGTAAATACAAGATGAATATTCTTCATCTTGAATGCAGAGGGGCAACATGTTTCAGATTTTGTACTTGTAGATTTGGATATTTTCATATATATATAGTGTGATATCTTAGGGATAGGGTCTATGTACAAACATAAAATCACACCACTGTGTTCCATTTATATTTTGTAATACAGCCTGAATTAATTTTAGACAATATTGTAAAAAAAATTCTGCATGGACAATGTTGCATGTTTTGGAACTCTCCATTGGGGGCATCATGTTATTGTACAGAAAGTTTTGAGTTTTGAAACATTTCAGATTTCAAATTACAGATGCTCACCTGTATTCTATTTTTAGGCCTACAGCTAACCAACTTGAAGGAAAGTCTTAGAATTTTGTATAAAACACTAAACATAAAAGTTACTACATGGGTAATAAATAATAGCATTCTGTATGGTATAGTTTATTATTATTATTATTTTTCTTTTTTTTTGGTCCAATCGTGGGGCCTGAACTCGGCCTGGGCGCTGTCCCTCAGCTCTTCAGCTCAAGGCTAGCGCTCTACCACTTGAGCCACAGCGCCACTTCTGGCTTTTTTCTTTTTGCTTATGTGGTACTGAGGAATCGAACCCAGGGCCTCAGGCATGCAAGGCAAGCACTCTACCACTGAGCCACCTTCTCAGCCCCTAGTTTATTATTTTTAATGAACCTTATTTAAATTTTTATACACTAATAGATCTATATATACATTTACTCCTATAGATATATTTTCATTTTAATATTTAAAGACATTATTATGTGAAATGATTGTTCATTCTTAGATTTATAGTCCTTCCTAAAATTTTATATTTGACAATTCATTGTGAATTCAAATGCTCATTTGCCTTTCATTTTTTATTTACTCTAAAAAATGGATGAAGTATTTTCTTTCTTCTTACTCTTTCTTAATAAGTTGATCAAGTTATAACTTGATGAGGTTCTACCAAAAAACCCCACAACTCCATAATGTCCCTTGAAATTATAAAACCTAATATATATTCATTGGATTATGAGACTTGTGAAATCTATCTATGGTTGAAGCTGGGGAATGTACACAAGCAAGAGGCGGCTTTGACAAGCAGAGGACACAGGAAGCATTCGGAGACTCTTGCTCTTGAACAGACTATGAGCTCCAGTTCATTACAGCATTACAGGTCTGAGGACCAGCAAGAGCAGTCAATTTCTAGGTTACTATTCAAAACATTCATCTAATATTCCTCCAAATTAAAAATATATTTATTTAGCAACTAGTTGAATTAAAGTGGCAAATATCCTATGGGGGAAGGAAGGAAACTCAACTGGCGATTCATACTGTGTCTTAAGGTAAACTACTGACATTTCCCAAAGTCTTATTAGATCTATAAACATGAACAATTTATTTCCAGTGGCAACCAATACTGGCAATACATTGATGATAAAGACATGGGTTATAATTTAGGCTGTATCACCTAATATTCAAGTTTTCTGGGCAAATTATTGAGTTTCAGTTTCTCTGATGAAGTGTATACCATGGCTGTCATGCCTGTAGTAAGAACAGTATCCAAGCTAGGAAGCTGAGACGTAAGCATCATGATTCAAAGCCAGTCCAGGCAGAAAGGTCTGTGAGACTCTTACCTCCAATTAACCACCAGAAAACCACAAGTGGCGCTGTAGCTCAGAGTGGTAGAGCACGAACCTTGAATAAAAGAGCTCAGGGACAGTGCCCAGGCCCTGAGTTCAAGCCCCCTCCCCCCCCCCCCCCCCCCCCCCCCGCCGCCTCCGTGCCCCAAAGAACAGTCATCCAATAAACTTTTCTTTCTGACCTAAGAAGGAGTATTCAAAAAAGTAAGGAGGAACAAACTGTAAGAAAGCAAGAGCTGGAGAAGCTAAATGGCAGAGGACAGAAAGTGCCAGAAGTTTAAAGGAATCCCCTACAACTAGGGGTCACCAAAGATACAGTTCTAACAAGGAAGCAGAGGAAGAGAAGACAGTGTCCCCAGATAATAAAGACAGTGTCCTAATGCAACCAGCAATATAGTATGCCAGTGAAATACTGAATATAGTGTTTAGAGTTACATATAGATTTAAAGGTTCAACTTCAATTCGTGTAATTGTGAGACTTAACTACCAAGTCTATCATTACTAATTGGTTTTGTTTACTGTGAAGATACAGTAGATTTAAAGCCATTTGTCCACCCTATGAGGAAAAGTCAAGTACTTAGACCCTTATTAGACTATTCTATCCTGTCTTCTGGAGTATTTCATTAAAAAGATGGTTTTTCCATACTTGTTATACATCCATACACGTTTAGGAACTGTTACAGCAAAAAGGTATCAAAACTGATTAGCAGCAACAATCACAAAATACCAGAAGCTAGTATCTGAACAAAAACTTTATTGTAGACATCCTTTCTACTCAGAATAATTAAAAACTCATCTTATTATAGTTCAATGAGTGAACTAACTTATTTTCCCAAATGGTTCTCCCTTTGAATTTTAACAATACTATATGTTAGATTCAAAAGCAACAGCTAAGTCTGAAGTACCTTAACTTTAAATACAGTTTCAATATTTCAAAGCTGAGGTTATTTTGAAGACTTCTCCAATTTACTTACTCAGTTTGCCATATTAAGCTGTAACAGGTGCTAAGATAGTTCAGCTTCACACACAAGCCTGGTGTGAAGCTTCTTCTATCAACAGGGGGCTTCTTTTCTTGGTGTTTAAAACTCAAGTGTTTACAATTAACTTTGTAATTGATTGTGTGTGTGTGTGTGTGTGTGTGTGTGTGTGTGTGTGTGTGTGTGTGTGTGTGTGTGTGTGTGTGTGTGTGTGTGTGTGTGTGTGTGTGTGTGTGTGTGTGTGTGTGTGTGTGTGTGTGTGTGTGTGTGTGTGTGTGTGTGTGTGTGTGTGTGTGTGTGGCATTTGTTGCATTTGTTGCTAAAAGTATATCTTTATTTTAAGGGACAGAATGCATGCCTATTTTTCTTCCTAAAAATTACTTCTTTTTTTTTTGTCGGTCGTGGGACTTGAACTCTGGGCCTGGGCGCTGTCCCTCAGCTCTTCAGCTCAAGGTGAGCGCTCTACCACTTGAGCTACAGCGCCACTTCCGGTTTTCTGGTGGTTTATTGGAGATAGGAGTCTCATGGTCTCTCCTGCCCGGGCTGGCTTTGAACCGCGATCCTCAGATCTCAGCCTCCTGAGTAGCTAGGATTACAGGCGTGAGCCACCAGCGCCCGGCTTTAAAAATTACTTCTTACCTAATAGTTGTTCAAATTATTTCACTGATTGGAAGATTTTAGGGAAACATGACGAGTATGCATTTTCTGTATCAGAAATCTATTTTGTGCCTCACTAAAAGTAATTATATGGGTGCAAATGATGATTATACTAACTTCTGTCAGTCCTACATTAGCTGCTACCACTATAAAGGCAAATCCTTGATAAACAGAGAGAATGGAAAAAAGCTTATCAAATAGCAAAAAGAAAAGTCAGAAGAAGGAAAAATGTGGTTAAAAAACACAATTTGAATTTTTTCTTTCATCTCCAAATAAGGAGAAATCAGTTCTAATGAGTATAGCTGAAATAGTGCCTATTACAAAATTGAAGAACAGAGACATTTTGGGGTAACTCTTAATAAGTAAAGTAACTAACCTCATCAGTTCCTCTACTTTATCGTCTACATCTAGGTCCTCTTCTGAGGCTTCAAAACTGTATGACCTCTGACCCATGCTATTTGCATGGTAGCGAGTTGGAGACATCTTCCCATTGGATATGGACAATCGCTCACTGTTCTCCCTCCCGTTTTGATTGGTAGTGCAGGGCTGTGGGGAAGTGTCATAACTGTTGCTAGGCGAGGGGGACATTCCCGAATGCTGGGTCTGTGTGGAAGCCGTAGCTGTAGAGGAAGAGGCTGGAACATTGTTGGTGTTGTTCCCATATGAACTTCCTCCATAGCTGGACCTTCTTCCAAACTTGTCACTATGCTCTTGGTCAAGACGGTCCAATGTTTCCAATGCATGGAGAACTTCATGTTTAGTCATTCCAGTACGCCGGAGGCGCTGAAGCAAATCTATCTGTTCTATGGTAAATCTGGGCTCATCTGTATAGTGAGACATGGTTTCCAGCAAACTGAAAAAAAAAGTCTTTCATTAACAAGATTTGCCAAAAAGCACATAATTGAGAATGCTCTGCAGAAGATACATTATCTGTACATGTATTTCTTTACTGAAAACAGTAAGACATGTCTCTGCTACAATTTTTTTTCATGGCAAATGAACGGGTACAGATGCTCAGTTTAGGCTGGGAAGTTGGCTCAGTGGTAGAGCACTTGCCTTGCATGCCTGAGACCCTGGGTTCGATTCCTCAGCACCACATAAGAAAAAAGCCGGAAGTGGCGCTGTGGCTCAAGTGGTAGAGTGCTAGCCTTGAGCTGAAGAGCTGAGGGACAGCATCCAAGCCCAGAGTTCAGGCCCCACGACCGGACCCCCCAAAAAAACAAAACAACAACAACAAAAAACAGATACTCAGTTTACTAGTAGATGGACATCAGGTGTAATATAAAACTTAATTTATTATGGAATTCAATCTACATTTTTTATAAATATTAGAACCAAAGTATTAGTTATATCAAAAGTATCAATATAAGGGACTAGGTACATATCATACTTTCAGCCCAGGCTATGTGATAGAGCTCAAGATTTTTTTCCATCTGGAGTGCATTATATTATTAAAAAACATAGACAATGTTTAAAACATAAAAATAATGGTTACATTCAGTAATTATGGCTTAGTTCCTGAACTGAGAGGAAATATAGAGGAAAAGAGGACAAAAGAAAAGAGGAAAAAGGGAGGGGAGGGAGGAGAAAAGAGGAGAAGGGCGGAAAAAAAAAAAAAATCCAAGATCTAAAAAGATCCAGTGATTACCCACAGACACTGTTACTCAGCAGAAACTTAGGCAATATTTCATATCTTTTAGATCTATTCCAGGAACTTTTCACTAAATTACAGAATCAATGAAAGGAGGGGGAGAAAACAAAAGAAAAACTTAAAAAATAAGGAAAACCTCTTTAATGCCTACTTATTGAATTACAGAGCTGTCAACCAAAATGGAAGGAATTTAAGTAAACACAGACTCCACCAAAATTTACAGAATACTTATACTAAAGGCACTCTGCATTAGACTCTATAAAGATGTACTTAATGAGCTAATAGATACTTTATCTTCACTAATATCTGAAATTCCCGGAATTCTTTTATTCAGAAGCCTATTTAAAATGAACTGGTGGTTACAGTTCATACATATCCTAGCAAAGAAACACTCTCAACATAATATCACTACCTCAATTTGTATTTCTGCCTGACTCCAGAGAACAGCTAGCAACTGCATTTAGCTAATAGGCTTAACTGCATTATCGTTCTCCACAGGTAAAGAGGAATAGCTAGGATGCAAGGAGTCGGCACACAAGAGCACCATTAGGGTAACATGCTTTTAATATTCTGCTTGTCACAAACAATCTAACACCCACTCTACTCTCTCCAATAGCTAATCATCTATGGCACAAGTTCCTAGACTAGAGAGCTTGTACACTACAGAGTAAGTATGGGATTGTATATTCCACTGAAAATTAAAGTCAAAATGTACAAGTTGAAAATAGAAATGGAAAAAGAGGTTGAGAGTCTTGAAAGTCCACTCCTTGTCCCAGGACGAGGACACTTACTAGTCTCCATATCGATTCTCTTGTTTTGTTTTGCCTTTTGTTTTGTTTTTGTTGGTAGTACTGGGTTTGGACTCTTGGCCCTATTGCATGCTAGCCAGGTACTAGCAGCACTTGAGCTAATTCTCAAGCCCTTTTCACTTTAGTTTTTTTTTTTTTTTTGGCCCCAGACCATACTTCCCGAATAGCTGGGATCACAGGTATTCACAATCATGCTGGATTTTTGGTGGAAACAGGGGCCAGCTAAATTTTGGTGTGTGCTGACCTTAGAACTGTGACTCTCCTAATCTCTGCTTCTTGTTGCATTTTTTTCTTTTTTGTCAGTTGTGGAGCTTAAACTCAGGGCCTGGGCGCTGTCCCTGAAATCTTTTGCTCAAGGCTAGCACTCTACCACTTTGAGCCACAGCACCACTTCTGGTTTTCTGGAGGTTAACTGGAGATAAGAGTCTCATGGACTTGCCTGCAGGGGCTGGCTTTGAACCTCAATCCTCAGATCTCAGTCTTCTGAATAGTTAGGATTTCAGGCATGAGCCAATGGTGCCTGGCTTTGTTGTATCTCTTTCTAAATAAAAATAAATTCTGTGTCTAAAAAACTTTTTGCAAACTACAAATGTTTGTTGCCAAATCTAAATTACAATTATAATAATTTCTTAATTTTATTAAAGCAATTTGAAGAATAAAAATTGAGGAAGACTACTTACACCACTGGAAAGGAACTGAGCATACTTTACATGAGGAGGATTAATATTCTGTCCAGGGATAGCCAGCTTTATTTATCATTCTGTAGAATAAAGATAGAAAAATGAAAAATATTTATGTCATTCAAGTGTTGATAAAATTTTTATTACATAACCTAAGGAAATTAAGAGTTAATATTAGTTAAATATGTTTCCAAAACTCCCATTTTCAATTTTTTTTTTTTTGGGGGGGTCCAGTCGTGGGCCTGAACTCTGGGCCTGGGCGCTGTCCCTCAGCTCTTCAGCTCAAGGCTAGCGCTCTACTACTTGAGCCACAGCGCCACTTCCGGTTTTTTTCTTTTTGTTTTTATGTGGTGCTGAGGAATCGAACCCAGGGCCTCATGCATGCAAGGCAAGTGCTCTACCACTGAGCCACCTTCCCAGCCCCCATTTTCAATTTTGAACTGAAGCATTGGCTTAAAGCAAAAAAAAAAAAAAAAAAAAATTAAGAGAAAAAAAAACAAAACGAAACAGGAACTTTCCATATAATTCTTTGGAAACAGTAATTAAAAAAAAAAAAAAGAAAACAAAAACATGCCCTATGAGTTTAATCTGCTAGCAGGAATCCTTCAGAGAAACAGATTTACACATGCAATGGAATAGATATACTGCAGTGGCATTCAACTTAACATTTTGGTAATCACATCAGTGCACTTATAAAGAATCTAATAAACAAAAAGCAAGCCCTGGTATAATTATAACTAAATGCCTTCAAGTGGGGTAAACGCTGGAGCCATTTTGAGTATATTGCTTACTTTACTGCTAACATCATCTTGAGTGACTTAATTTCTCTAAGCCTCAATTTCCACATCTATAAAATAGGGGTGATAGATGAGAGCTATTAAATAATTTTAAAGGAAGGTGATGAAGTACTTTATAAACTAACAAGTGGTTGGTATTACCAGCAACTTAGAGAAAAATGACTATGTCCATGAAGATGACAAACACAGATGTCACCTACACAGATGACAAGCACACTGATGATAAAGTAAGCGAAGTACTTCCACCTTGTGACTTGCTTCAACACTGAGACAATTTCACCTTCTTTAATTCAGACACAAATCTTCACAAACACAAAAATGAAACCCGTTATTCACAGTTTAGCAATCAAAGATCACAAAGATTGAACTTATTAGCAGTTTTCAAACCATAATGTCTGTAGACAACTATTTCCATTAACTCTAAAAAGTATGTATTAGACAAAGTTAAACATTCTGGTGGAAAAAAACCACACACATTAAAGTACATATTCAGAGGGAAGGGGTGACATTGTCCAAAAAGAAATGTACTCATTACTGGAATCATGTAATTGTAACCCCTCTGGTACATCACCTTTATAATAGCAATAAAAAATAAAAAGTAAAAGGAGATAAAGTACATATTTAGTATTGAGTTATATTAAGCAAGATAAAGTGTCAAACAGTGACTAATTTATATATGTGAATTCTACAAGGCAAAATTAGAATCCTTCACATTTGCATATCCTAAATTGTACTATTAATGAAATTATTCTTATGCTTAATTTTTTTGCAGACTTAAAAAATACATTCCAGATAAAGGTAAAAAAAAAAAATCACAGCAACACACTCTACAACAAAATTTAGAAGATGATATGTCTTCAAAACCCTCTTAACAAAGACAAGAAATATAGGTAAACACAAAAGCTAAAAATTTCTTATTTCAAAAAAAAACCCTGGAATCAAAATGAGGGGAGGAAATGCCATGTATACAAGAAGCAGATCCCAATACCATGCTTATAAAAACTCCTCAAATATGCTACAAATCAGGGAAATAACTATTAGTTTAATAATGTGACCTCACTTGGGCAAAAAGTATAAAGATTGAAATCCCTTCTAAATGGCATTATCATATTTCATTAATCTGAATTATGATATCTTTTTAGAAAGAAGTCTGGTGAGGTATATTAAAATTTAAAATACTTAAGATTTTTGACTTGGCAATTCTACTTCTGAGAATCTATCAAGTAAGTGCATAAGGAAGTATACGCAAGGATATTTATTTTCAACTGTACAAAAGCCTGCCTGCCTGCCTGCCTGCCTGCCTGCCTGCCTGCCTTCCTTCCTTCCTTCCTTCCTCTGTACCTCCCTCCTTTCCTCTTCCCCTTCTCTCCCAATTCCTTTTCTTATAGTGGTGCTCAGGCCTGAATCCAGGCTTCATGCATGTTAGGCAAGCACTATACTACTGAGATACATTCCAGCCCACAAGTAATCTTTCTAAATTGTAAACAGGATAGAATGAAACAATACAAAGAATAGATTAGAAGTATACCTGATTTATGTTTGAAAGTTCAGGTTCCTCTTGTTGCCTCCTTGGTCATAATCCAAATTCATTAATTTTGCTAAGCACTGTTTTCCTCTTGCGCAAAGTATGGAAACTATCTACATTTCATGTGGCCATTTTGAGGACTAAATACGATCTAGTAAAGGAGGTCCTGGGAGTAGGCACCCACAAGTGTTAGCTCCCTCCCCTTTTTCTCTTCTAAGTTTGAATTATGCATCTTTCTAAGAAGTTATTGTATCCTAAGGGGAAAAGCGATTTAAGGAATCAAAAGAGACAGCATTTTTTTTAAAAAAATCAACACAAAAACCAAAAAGCCAATCTCAAAGTTGCTTGGCTTGAATTGAGAATACTTGCTTTGTAGTGGGGGCATTTATGTGGATCAAGCTATGAGAAAATTGTTTTGTGAGTAGGCAAAAATGCAACACTGAGCAGGTAGCTGTCAGCCAAGAGCTGCCTGGTCAAGGCTTGCTATCTCCAGCAATGCAAGAAGCACGCACTGTCCCATGTTTCTTTCCAAAGTGGAAGAGTTGGTATTTGTTTGTTTTTTTAATTAGGTATATTAATTGTACAAAACAGTAGGTTTCATGGGACGTGTTCATACATGCCCATGATGTACTTTGACCACACTCACTCCCCCTTCATCTTCTCCTGTCCCCCAAATTCATGTTTACAGTCTGTAACAAACCTTTTTTAATTATCTAGTTAAGAATAAATGACTTGAGGCTGGGAAGGTGGCTCAGTGGTAGAGTGCTTACCTCACATGCATGGGGTCCTGGATTCGATTCTTCAGCACCACATAAACAGAAAAAGCTGGAAGTGGTGCTGTGGCTTAAGTGGTAGAGTGCTAGCTAGCCTTGAGCTGAAGAGCTGAGGGATAGCGCCCAGGCCCAGAGTTCAGACCCCATGACCAATTACCCGCCCCCCCCCCCCAAAAAAAAGAATAAATGACTATTGGAGAAAAACACACTAAGAACAATAGTTTCTAGCCATCTTGAAGGAATTTTTTCCTCCCAAAAAGGAGAAAATTGGGGATGAATGGGGGAGAGGGTCTGACAAGAGGTAGAAAGAGCTGGTAGTAATAACTGTGTAGTCTTGTAGGGATTTCTGGAAAATTGAATAAAGACAAGATTAACCAGCTATAATTTTCATCCAATGAAATCATAATGTCAGGGGAAGATGAAGAGACCACCAAGAGACCAAGTGAAACCCTCAGAGGGCTTGGGGTAACTCGGTTTATTTTATGTGGTGGGCTGAGAGGAGCCCAGATTATACGTTTGTAGGGAGTATTTATTTGTAAGCAAGTTTTGGTGGGAGGAAGGGAGGAAATAGCGCAGGAAGCAAGTGTGATTACAGAGGCTAATGTCCAAGCTCATTCTGGCTCCTTAGTAGTTAACAGTAAGGGTTTGCTTATCACCAAATGTTCCCTGGAAGTGGGGGGTCCTGGCTTATTTCAGGTTTCCAGGCCTGATGTCGGCTAGGCCAGACTCCTTGACACGAATCCAAAGCTTGCAGACTTTTGGCTACAACTGTTTTTCATAAAGAACTTGAGACAGAAAAACCCTTCTTCCTAAGCTTCATTTCAGTATTCCTTATTATCTGCAATGGAGTTCCCTCCAAATAATGAGAAGGATCTGGAAAGAATTTTGTAGAGATCATAAAAAGGAGGGTAACACACAGGAGTATTTTTTGTTCCTGCCTATTAGAATTCTTTTTTTTTTTCTTTTTGAACTCTGGACCTGGGCACTGTCCCTGAGTTCATTAGCTCAAGGTGAGTGCTCTACCATTTGAACTACAGAATCACTTCCGGTTTTCTGGTGGTTAATTGGAGATAAGAGTCTCTCATAGACCTTCCTGCCCAGGTTGGCTTTGAACGTGTTCCTCAGCTCTCAGCCTCCTGAGTAGCTAGGACTACAGGCTTGAGCCACTGGCACTGGCTGCCTACTCAAATTCTAAGTCCACAGTTCTAAATCTTTCTAAAAGCTGTTGGAGTCATAAGAGACAGTAATCAAATGAATAAAAATGTGACATAGGAGCTCATGCTTCAGTAAATTGCAACTAAAAAAACAGTGAAAGGAATTCCAAATAAAGATTCAAAAAGATAACAAATAGCTATATGCAGACCTGTCTACTTAAAAATCGGCAATACTGCGCTGGCAGCAAATGAAGTACATCAAATATGTGAGGAGAGCTAGAGAAACGCAAGGAGCTGCCACTATGTCTAACAGCAAGGGACAAAATTGGCAGCTAAATAATAATACCACCACCACCACTATCAAATAATAGGGGCATCAAATAAAAATATGCTTACTGGACCCAAACTCTTGTATTAGGACCCAGCATACCATGCTAAATATCAAAACAAAGTAATTCACTCTAAAGTTCCATTATCACCAGACTAAACTGTCTACTGGACCTAAGAAGTCAGGACTAGACAGACAACAGCCAGAACGCCAGAACAGGCTTAATCAGCAGAATGATGAACTTCCCTCAGCATTGGTCTTCACACACAGGCAAAAAGGTAATCCAGTCTTACCCAATCAATTTTTTTTTTCTGTCTTCAGGTGCCTGTCTTACAAGGAAAGTAATTTTGAAATCACTAACCCAACTGCTTTCTTCAGTCTTTTTTTCTGTCTATAAAACCATCCTCCTCTGCATGGCTCACTAGAACATTTTATGCTATGCAATGAAATGTTCTCCAACTGTAGAATCTAAAATAAGGCCAATTAGAATCTTTAAACTGAAG